TCCTGTGCCAGCCTCAAAATTGTTGCTATGATTGAGCCTATTATTGCAGCTACTTTGTTAACAGTCCCTTGTTTTCACTGACTTTCTACTTTACTAAACATGCTCTTCTTTTCTAGTAATTGATCTTTCTTGATGATGTGTCCAAAGTAAGCAAGACAAAGTCTAACCATCCTCACTTCTAAGGAGTATTCTGGCTGTACTTCCTCCAAAAATGACCACCTGGATAACTCCTTGTGTTTTTTGATCCTGTATGTTGTGTACTGAGTACTTTTAGCTGTGGATTTAAGAGAGAATAGGTACTATTCTATGGTTTTATGTGGGTGAATGGCATAATAAAGTCAGTGACTAGTTGGTCAGCAATGCATATGAGGTGATTGAAAATACCATGGCTTGGGTCAGGCGCATGTTAATCATCAAAGTTACATCTTTGCTTTTTAACGCTTTAAAGAGATCTTTTGCAGCAAATTTTCCCAATGCAATATGTGATTTGATTTCTTGACTGCTGCTTCCATGAGCATTGATTGTTGATCCAAGTAGAATTGACAACTTAAATATTTTCTCTGTTTATCATGATGTTGCTTATTGGTCTAGTTGTGAGGATTTTTGTTTTCTCTATGTTTAGGTGTAATCCTTATTAAAGGCTGTAGTCTTTGACCTTAATCAGTAAGTAATTCTTTTACAAACATATGGCTTGTCCTCACTTTCAGAAAACAAGGTTGTGTTGTCTGCATATCACAAGTTGTTTATGAGTCTTCCTCCAATCCTGATGCCATGTTCTCTTCATACAGTCCAGCTTCTCAGATTATTTATTCAACATACAGATTGAATAAGTAAGGTGAAAGGATACAAACTTGCCACACACATTTTTCCAATCCTGAACCACACAGTATCCCCTTGTTCTGTTTGAACCACTGCCTCTTGATTCATGTACAGATTCCGTATAAGGGACCTGACAATCATCTTTTGAAATAATTGAGGCTGAAGCTCTAAATCTAGGGCCACGCAGTTTGACCTCTCAAAAGATCTACTTTTATTTTTATTTCATTCTTCCTGACTCTATGTTGTGGACCTGTTAAATACAGATGTTATCTGAGCCAGATACTGCTCCCAAGCCAGGGATCAGGGAGGTGGATTGGCCTTTCCCAGGCACCTCCTCCCATAAATCATGAGATCTTGGCCTTTGGTGAGGATTGTCTTACTTGCCACAAACTGATAGCATAAATCTGAAAAATGACAAGCTGGTAGTTGTAGATAAATTTCCTGGGGTTAATAATCTGACCTCTTTATGAGCAAAATTTTATTAGAAGTGACAAAGACTGGAGGACATATGTGCCAGAGGGTAAAGTCCTTTTTTTTGCACTGCAAAGAACAGTTGGAAAAGGTGTGTGTTATCACTAATAATCCACTGCATCTCTTAGCATAACATCTTCAGAAGTGTAACACCCAGTCTTCTGCCCCTTCCTGAAAGGCCAAAGAGTCTTTTAGCCCAAGGTACTCAAAACTCAATGATGGATGATTTCCCAGATGATCTCCATGGGCCCTGAGCTTCCTTGTTTGAAGTCAAGATTATGTTTCCCTCCTTCCCCCAATACTTGGGGAGGGGGCCATACAAGTGGTTAATAGTAACTCTGGAGGGCTACTGGGGAAGATGCGAGAAAAGTGATTTTTGCTGAGTGAATATGCTCAGAATTCTTAATACTTCGGAGCTATTCTTGGTAATTCTGGAAACATTCCCTTAGCATGGAAGAAATGTCTCAGTTATCCCGCCCACCGTTCCACACACCCTTTTAATATGATTCTGATTTCTATAAGGAAGACCCATAGGATGAGAAGTCCAAGGTGATTTTTTTTAAATCCCTGTTCTGTCAGCTACATTTTTCATTAAAACCTTAGATTGGAGGTTAACAAACTGAGGTTATAGACCTTCCTCGTTCTCCACCTCACTGTGTGATGCGGCATAAATTGCTTCTTCTCTTGGGGCCTCAGTTTGCATTTACTGGGAATTAGTTAAATAAATGAGTTTATGTTAGCTTTGCATCTGTTGGAATGCTTGAAAACATAGAAGGATATGAAAGTTGTATTAAATTTAAAAAGCAAGGATTAGAATAGTTTAGATATTATGACCCCACTTGTATAAAAATTGTGTGTGTGTGTGTGTGTGTGTGTGTGTGTGCTTACACATGCAAAGAAAGATAATTTAGAAGAAAATCCAATAAACGATTAATTGTAATTATTTGGGGGACATAGGGCTGGGGGTTGGGGGAAATGGAAACTTTTACTTTTCATTTTATTACTCCTCTCTGTTATCTGCTTTTCTGTCACGTGCCAGAGAGACTGATGGATGTCTTAACATGGGCCTTTCCAACTCCAGTACATCATGGTTTTATCCTTTGGCTTCTTCTTTGCTCTTCTTTTACAAACATATGATTTGTCTTGCTCATGGCTGAATCTGCCTCAGTTTACATCTTCTGTTTACAAATTGGTCTGAAAGCTATCCTGTTAAATTTGATATTTCTGCTTTTTCAATTTGGCAGAATTTGGCCATAATAAATACTTCTAATTTTGGATATTCTCCTTTTAGTGGAAGAAAAAAAAGGCAAACTCTTTTGTTTTTTCTTAGTTTTCTAGCAAGGAATGAGATGGTAGCCATAATGTTTAATGCCAGTTGATTTTCCTGCAGGAGTTCTGCTATCAGAAGACATGCAACAGTCTAAGTCAAAAAAGCTGTGTGTAGCTATGCTCCAAAGATGGTTAAAGAAATTTCATTAGCCTCAATTAATGTGATAAATACCTTCCTCGAGGTGCTTAAATATTAGTAGTTTTAGTGAGCCTCCTCAGGCAAGTGTGTGAGGGCCAAATAGAATTTAATCAAGTACTGTAAGACTCACATTTTTGTTCCTCTGGAAGGGAGTTGCCAGTTTCAAAGATGGGTCTGAGATTGCTTCCTATCCCTGGCATCTGAGCAAATCATCGGGGCTATGAGCTTTCCCTCTGCTGGACAGGCCTGGGTGTCAGCTTCCGGGGCCATATTCCTTTAGTGTCAGAGGAAGAGGTGGCAGCTAGGGCACTTTTGGATGGCAGAGATGAGATCCCTGCTTGTCAGGCCAAAAAACCTAGTATCCAGTGGAAGATGACCAGGATGAACAGGATCTCCCATGTTTTATGTGAAAGGTTAAAGGAAGAAAAGATATTTTAACTTAGAAAAGAGCAAAATCATCAAATGTTAGTTCTGGGAGAAACCTCAGACATCATCTCACCCACCCTCTTCACTGTGCACCTGAGATTCAAGAACATTTGAAGGAGTTGATGAAAATCATGGAGCTTGTCAGTGGCAATGAAGAGTCGGAACTCGAGTTTTCTGACTCCCATGGCCCAATACTGTCATCACGATGCCATCCCCAAAGTCCGTGTTCTTTCTGTTTGGTCATGTTTATGAGGTGATGGTTTGCTAAGAAGCATAAATATAATAAATGCATAAAGTGTCTAGCATACTGTTGTTGGTTGCTGTTGAGTCAATTCCAACTCATGACTGCCTCATGTGTGCAGAGTAGAACTGCTCCAGAGGGTTTTCAGAAGCAGATCACCAGGCCTGTCTTCCAAGGCACCTCTGGGTGGGTTCCAACCCCCAACCGTTGGGCTAGTAGTCTAGTGCTTAACTGTTTGTGCCATGCAGGGACTCCTTAATTCTCCCAGTATACCTGCAATCATAATCAACCACTCAGCAAGGATAACAGTGCGGCTAGAACTGATCGTTATCTTGACTAGATGTCCACATATGCTTTTTCAGAATACTGGATTATAATACATGAGAATTTCAGCAAAACAGAAGGAAAAGAAAAAGAAAAAAAAAACTTTTTAGTGAATAGTCTTCTCCAACAGTATAAAAGGCTGCCTTCAGAAATGAGTATCTTATCACTGAGACTATTCAAAAACGCCAGGTGGCACTCAATCAGATTTTTCCTCCAGAACTTTCCTAATGAAAGGAAACTAGGGCTAAATTACTCCCAAGGGCCTGTCTTTAACCTTCAGGCAATGATGATGAGGAAAAGGATGCGTCTAATGCAGTGTTACCACCGCTCGTCTGTTAGTTTGTTGTACTGTGGTGGCTTGCATGTTGCTGTGACACTGGAAGTTATGCTACCAGTATTTCAAATACCAGCAGGGTCACTCATGTTGGACAAGTTTCAGCCCAGCTTCCAGACTAAGACAGACTAGGAAGAAGGACCCGGCAGTCTACTTCTGAAAAGAATTAGCCAGTGAAAACCTTATGAATAGCAGTGGAACATTGTCTGATATAGTGCCAGAAGATGAGTCCCTCAGGTTAGAAGGCACTCAAAATATGACTGGGGAAGAGCTGCCTCCTTAAAGTAGAGTGGACCTTAATGACGTGGAGGGAGTCAAGCTTTCAGGACCTTCATTTGCTGATGCAGCACGACTCAAAATGAGAAGAAACAGCTGCAAACATAGCAATGATTGTGAGGATGGTGCAGGACCGGGCAGTGTTTTGTTCGGTTGTTCATAGGGTTGCTATGAGACAGAATCAACTTGACAGCACCTAACAACACAAACAACAGTGCAATGTTTAAAAAGACTAATCTGATAGCAGCAACAAATGTAGAAGCAGAAATACTAGCAGGAAGCTAGGAGCTGTAAAATTTTGAAATATCAACATAAAAAAAAAAAATCACAAAAATAAATAAATAAATAAATGCTGGATCAATCGCAAAAGCTTCAGGGCCCAATATGCATTTATTTCACGTCTCCTCACAAAACTGTTTACATATTGAGCTACTTTGCTGGTGAGACTTCTGCCCCTGACTAACCTCTTTAAAATTCCCCGTAATTTAGTGTTTCTGCCAAATCCCACCGGCCACGCAGGAGGAGGGTCAGAGCCCCAAGTGATGGGGATACTGGGAAGAGAATGAATGATGGCCAGAAACAGATTGTGATCAGTTGAGAAGCTAGCATGCCTCTTTCATTAATATGTCTTTTCTCCTCAGGTTATGTTGACATTGGGCTCATTCCAAAAGGAGCAAGAGACATACGGGTAATGGAGGTTAAGGGAGCCGGGAACTTCCTGGCCATCAGGAGTGAAGACCCGGAGAAATATTACCTGAATGGAGGATTTATTATCCAGTGGAATGGGAACTACAAGCTGGCAGGGACTGTCTTTCAGTATGACAGGAAAGGAGAGCTGGAAAAGCTGATGGCCACGGGTCCTACCAATGAGTCAGTGTGGATCCAGGTAACATAGAAGACAAAGAAACTGCTGACATGTACATTAATTAGGATCTCCCTAATCTTCTTTTCCAAGATATTTGCTAGAGGACTTTGAGCAAGAATTCTTAAAACTTCTTTTGGCAAAGAACATGAAAGGAATCCAGATATTAGTTTGGTCTCTTAATCGTTGTTGTTATTGTGTGCCGTCGAGTTGATTCTTACTCATAGCCACACTATAGGACAGAGTAGAATTGCCCTATAGTGTTTCCAAGGAGCAGCTGGTGGATTTGAACTGCCGACCTTTTGGTTAGCAGCCTGAGCTCTTAACCACTCACCACCAGGGCTCCTCTTAATCCTTAGTGGTTTAGAAATTGCTGAAAACCCCATAATGAAATGCCACGGTCTCCAAACCCATCCATTGGGAGGTTTGAGTCTAGTGTCACGTATGGTTGACACAGGCTGAGGGTGATTGTTCCTCAGATATAAAAAGGATTACATTGGTCCATTGTTGGTCTGGCATGAGTTTCCAAGTAGGTTTGCAGCAGTGGTGATGGGTTGACAGGGTCCTTTTACATGTTATCACATGGTTGTCCTCAGACAAACAGTTTGACTTTGTGAAACTCTTGGGGGAGGAAGGAGTTTTGATGCAATATATTATCTTCAAAAGCACAACTGTCTTTCATGTGAAGCAAATAACTGTAGAAAATGAGAGGAATGATTATACCAGGAGAGGCAAGGCAGGTTGGGGATGACAGCTGGCCCAAGAGTCAGATAGAGCCATATACAAAAGTTTGAAAGAGGTCATTTCAGAACCAGAGAGCAGAGAGCTAGGCTTGGCAGCTGTGAGCCTCCAATGTCAGGCAGGCCTTACACCTTCCCTGCCCACATGGGAAAGATTTATATACAGGAACTTCCAATCCTGGGGAGTATCTGGTTCATTGCCTCCAATTTTTCGTATGTGGTAAGTAGACTACTTGCAGAAGAGGGGAGTGAGGGGACGACCAAAAGAGTGGCGCACACTGCTGAAACCTACGCATATGTTTACCTCAGAATTACCATGCTTTAAAGGAGTTTAGCAACCAGAGAGCTAGAGAAGAGCGTAAGACAGCAACAACAACAGTAAAAGTAACTTATTGAGTGCTAGAGTCCTGGTGGCGCAGTGGTTAAGAGCTTAGTTGCTAACCAAAAGGTTGGCAGTTCAAATCCACCAGCCAATCCTTGAAAACCCTATGGGGCAGTTCCACTCAGTCCTTTGAGGTCGCTATGAGTCGGAATCGACTCGATGGCAACAGGTTAACAGGTATTGAGATTTAACTCCATACTGAGCACTGTTCTAATCACTTTACATGTATTTATTCATTTAACCCTCACAGCCACTCTATTAGTAGGGACTAGGGAGCCCTGGTGGAGTAGGGAGCCCTGGTGGCATGGTGGTAAGAGCTTGTCTGTTAACCAAAATGTCAGCAGTTTGAATCTACCAGCTGCTCTTTGGAAACCCTACGGGGCAGTTCTACTCTGTCCTGTCAGAATCGACTTGATGGCAATGGGTTTAGTATTATCCTCACTTTGTAGACTGGCAAACTAAGGCACAAAGAGGTTAAGTAATTTACCCATAATCACAAAGTAAATACACAAGGACACAAGATGACCTATAAAGCCAATTGTTGGAAAGAACACTCCTCGTCATTCCCTCAGAGTAATCCCTGTATAACTAGACCTCACCACTTACATGAACTGAAATTCCCATGGAAGTTCAGCCTATACACGTGTGTGCGTGTATATATATGTATATATATAGAATAGAATGAAGAATATATAAATGTGTGTGTTTATGTATGTTGTGGTTGCCACTGAGTTGATTTCAACTCATGGCAAACCCATGTGTGCAGTGTAGCACTGCTCCATAGGGTTTTCAAGAAGCAGATGGCCAGGGCTGTCTCCAGATATGGGTGGGTTCGAACCACCAACTTTTCAGTTAGTAGTTGAGTGCTTAACCATTTGCACCGCTTAGGTATATATATCAGTTTTACACAGATATATATATAGATAGATAATAAATATAGATGTAGATATAGATATATATTCATTAAATGTCATTTGTTCCAATGCATACCTCCATAACTACTTTAAAATGATGGGCCCTGTACTGTGTTTTATGTGATTCTGGTTTACAGTATAAATTCATGACAGATTTGACATGACCCCGCTCTTGTCTTTTAGCTCCTATTCCAGGTGACTAACCCTGGCATCAAGTATGAGTACACAATCCGGAAAGATGGCCTTGACAATGACGTGGAGAAGCTGGAGTACTTCTGGCAGTATGGCCGCTGGACAGAGTGCAGTGCAACATGTGGGACAGGTGAGAAATGCTGCTCCCACTGTGAACCCATGTCTGCTGCAGAACGGGCCACTAGAGGCCATCTAAGCCAGTGGTATGTCTGTGCCCATGGGTCTGCAGAGCTCCACAAAGATGTCCCAGGGGCCCCTGTGGGCAGCAGATGAGCAGGGGCACAATCTAAAGCGAGAAGTAGCTTTTATCAGCCTTATATACTGATCTCTGAGAGTTTTTTTTTTTTTAAAGAAAGGTTACATGTCTTTTATAAAAGAAAAACAAAAAGGCTTAAAAGCCACTGCTCTGGTTGAGGACCCTAGGACCACAGAAGTCAAACAACCCACCCAAAGGCATGCTATAAATCATGGCCAATTGCAAACCATAATGAGCTCTCCCAATTCCAAGCCCAGTGTTCTTCCTCCTTTTCCAATTTACTGGATTTTTATATCTACTGTGTAGTTTTCTCTCACAAAGTCAAGCAGTGGAGAGATTTGTTTTGCTGCCAAATATTAGGATGGGATAGGCTCTGCTACAGTAACAAAGAAAATCTCAGTAGTTCAGCACAAAGAAGGTTTAATTTTTACCCATTCTAAATCTGATGCAGGTTAGGTATGCGTGATTCATCTTGTAGTTGAGATGTTTGAAATGCATGGCTTCCAGCTGCCTCACGGGAGGAGAGAGATGGAAGAGGCAGATTGGCTCTTAACAGCCTAGGAGTGGCACATTTCATTCATTGGCCTTAGCCACATGGGCACAATCTAACTGCAAATTGGGGGGATGGGGGGTAACAAGGGCTCCCATCCATTACAGAAGGCTCGTTGAAAGAAATTGAACTGAGTCACCCATAGAAAGATCAACAAGGAAAGGTCACCCGATGCATTATCTGTGAAGAAACATCTATAGAAATGTTTTGACACAGATTCTGGTCTCAGTAGGAAGCTTCTGGACTCCTTGTTAAACAAGAAAATATTTTGGCAAAAACTCAAGATCACTTTCAGAGAAATGTACAAGCCACATGTTTGCTTCATTGCAACCCCAGTGCTACCAAGCCATTCAGAATTTCCTTGTGTCTCCTATAAAACACATAGTAATGGCACTGCTGTTAGAAAATGGGTCATCACTTCTGAACATGACCTCTGCCAGTTTTGTGCTGTGTGGTTTCTTCTGTTCTGCATTTTTGGGTCTATAAGTACAACAATGGCCTACACAAAAGAGAGAGAACTTTCCTTTGCCCTCTCTCGGACTTTTAAATTTCCCTTCATCCCACTTGGCTGGATTCTCTCTGGAGCTAGTCATTGTCCCTTTGTTCAAGGAACATGTTCAGTAGAAAAAGGCAAAAATCAAAACCAGGAGATACCTCAAATAGTTCTTCTAAGCTGACTTAGAAAATATATTACATTAATTGGAAATAAATAGAGGTAGAGCAGATACTTATGTTTACCAGAACTAGTTCTAGGTTCTAGCCAACAGTTTTCCCCCTAAAGCTCAGAGTAACCATTTACTTTGAGATGTGTCCACAGAGCCTTTATAAATCATGAAAATTATAAATAGGAGCACATAATCCACTCTGATCCTGATTTGTGACGTTATACTGATGTTTAGAAGACAGAATTCACTTCTTGGAAAAAATCAGAATTAGATCCTTTTTGACTTTTTCAAAGTACACTCCTGATGGTGCTCATTCATCTGACTGTCTGATCACAAGAATCCCAACTATACTTGTCAGGTAGAGTCAACCAGGTCTAGCTATTGATCTGTAATAATACCTAGATAGTTTTCTTTTTAATTTTGGACTTAATAAAGATAATTTAATTTATTGAGACAGATTTAACATATGCTATGAAATGAGGACTATATATTTTACCATGTACATAAGTATATAAATCAACTACAAGTAATATGCAGTGAAAGTCTGATAACCTTTTAGTTCTTCATGAATGAGCTAGTGAGAACCTTTAGTCAGGGTGGCTAATCTAATAGTCTCTTGTTCTGCTGGTCTCTTTAGTGCCAACCCGTTTGAACCCCATGCAGCCATCAGAGATTTGTCCCTCCCTTATTCCCAGGTCCTTAGTTTTGTTTTCTAATAATGTGCTTGCTCAGAATTTCTCAGCTGATTTCTCTGAAGGCTTTGTTTGCTCACTGTGCTCTGTGAAATGCTGACTGCCCACTTTTCTTGTTAACGCATGAGTGTTGTGAGATATTGCAGGCCTCTGATTTTCTTTAAGAACATACTTTATGTGATTTGCATGCAGTGGCTACATAAAGGGGAGAAGCTGTGTGGTACCCTTTGAAAATGGATCCTTTGTAGGGTGGAAGCTTTTTCTTCCTAACACCATTAAACATGCTTCCCAGCACCAACAATGCTCCTGTCTGAGCGTTTATTACATAATTTCTTATAAGCTACTTCTGACTCTGGCAGTCAATTAATGTGATCGGTTTGTTGCCATTTCAATGACAGTGTGTGTGTGTGTGTGTGTGTGTGGGCAGAGGGGAATTATTGATTTTGAGTCCTATTGTTATTCTGAGATGTATAAATTTCAGAGATGAATAATAATATAACCAAACTACATTAACTGATATCTAATTAATATTTGTAGTTATTCAAGTCAGTGTCAATATCCTTTTGAGTTAGAAAAAAAATGACTTGTATAACTTAGGGCTCAGTTGTTTGCAAGATGGATGTTGCATCTTAGAAGGATGAGGACTGAGGGACTTTGATCTATTCCCACATCTTAGAATGTGAAACCAACCTTGGTCTCAGATGTACAGAAATATAGCAGACCCACGGAGGGAGTTAATGCCCCGTGAGGGAGTGAGTGGGTTACATACAAAGAAGCTTTGGATGCAGGTTCAAAGAACTGCACAAGGGCCTACAGTGCATTAACTCCTGCACCAAGAACTTTAGGGCACGTGATCTCATTTGCATCTGACTTGCAATAACTGTAGTCTTATCTCCACCCTGAAGATGAGAATGCGGAAACTGAGGCTTGGGAATGTTAGGTGATTTTCCCAAGATCACTCAGCAAGTAAATGTCAAAAGCAGGATTCAAAACCAGTTCTGACTCCAATTTTAGTGTGCACACTGTGTGCGTGTGCATGCATGCACGTGCACGCGTGTGTGTGTGTGGGTGCACATGATGCAGGTGGTGTTGGCGTTAGTGGTGTTGTTGCTGTTGATATTGTGATTGTTGATCTCTCTCATGCACACACATATATACACACACATACACGTTTCTGAATGTATTTGAGGTCTTGTAGTGATAGAATCAAAGCTTTCCCCGACTGAGCCTTCACTATGAAGGATAAACCTAAACTCACTGAGCAAGGAAAACAGAGATGAAGGGGCTAAGGGAGCCAGAAAGAACAAGGTAACTGAAATAAAAAGTTAGTAGTTACGATGGACTTGTGAACAAGACAGATGGTTGGTTATACAATTCCCTGGAAAACTCTTTCCTTCTTCCTGTGAGTTAATATTATTTCTTTGCATTTTGAGGGCTTGTAGTGACAAAGCCCTCTACTGATCCACAAAATTGTTGCCATCTCACATTATTAAAATCAATGCCCATGTCCAGTTTTAGGAGGATTATCATTTGTGTACTAAAATAAAATTTAACTTCTACTAGTAGTGTTCGTGCTTAAGTGGTTATAAGGAAGGAGATTGCCCTCTTTGTCAGTATTTCAAAGACTGGGTATACAATACTATGAATCTCTAGCAGATGATATAATTAAATATCCTCTACCTTGAGTTTTTTTTGTCCTAAGTCTAGATATAAAAGGAAGTCCTGTACTTTTTTTGCCATGAGTTATTATAATAAGTTAAGTCTCTAGTTGTTTTCTCTGTACCCTTCCTAACTTAGTCTTTGAATCGGGAATATCTTTCATGGACTATATTAACCGTATAGCATAGTCCCTCTATTTTACATCTCAACCTTGAACTGAGAATATGATGAGCTATGTCATTGTTCATTCACTTACTCATTTTTTAACATAAGGAACTTTACTTTTTCCTTATATCAAGGTATAATCTCTACTGATGACAATCAGAAGAGTTAGATTGATGGGTGAAGATAGTTCTTAAAAGTAAAGGTGCTTAATTGACCTTTCACTGATAGTATCCAATAAGATTTGCCAAGTATTTATACCTGCTTGGGTCCATTCTCACTACAGCATGGTGCAAGAGACTCAGTATCCTCTGGAAATAACATTATCACATTTGCATCTCATATGTATTGGAATATAATTGATTTTTACTTAATGTATTTTCAAGTAAGTGCTCTCAGATAAGCAGTTAACTTGGTGCTGTGGCAACATATTGATTGACTGTCATTCCTGATTACTTAGAATTTTTTTTAAACTGTGTTCAGTTTGTAAGAGAAATGGAAAAATGACAAGCCAAATAAAAAGCCAATGTCATTAATTTCTTTAATTTCCAGGAAAAGGCCAAGGTCATATAGATGCAGCCTAATCTCTTTCACTTTCTTCATTTACAGTAATACATAATGATCACTGCTCTTAAAATGATGACCTAATTGTAACCCCCTCCCCAAGAGGCATTATAATGTCCTATGCCAAAGAAGGATTCCATCATAACAGCAATTGGTTTACAGAGTTAATTAGTGAGTACGTCACTCAAGATTAATAGTTTGAGGTCTTTACTGCAGAGGAGATGTTAACAGTCAGGGTCCCCAGAAAGAGACAGATGCCACACTCAAACTGAATAATTTGGCTATTTTCCAAAGATGTAGTTAGGGTTTAAACCAAAAAAACCAAACATGTTGCCATTGAGTCGATTCCGACTCATAGCAACCCTATAAAACAGAGTAGGACTGCCCTATAGAGTTTCCAAGGAGCGCCTGGTGGATTCAAACTGCCAACTTTTGGGGTAGCAGTCATAGCACTTAACCACTATGCAACCAGGGTTAGGGTTTAGGGACATCAAAAAAGGTAATTCAGAACTCCCGCCCGTTAACAGTGGGAGGTTGAGGGTGGGAGGAGAGATGAAGATAATGAGGCTATCATCCCTAGACCTGAAGGGATAAGGGAAGGAGCAGTTATCTAAAGAGACAACATCTCCATTTCCCAAATCCAACTGGAAGCCATGGCAACCCATAGGGCCAGCCTCCCCAGCCCCAGAGCAAGGTGGAGAAGGGTATGAGCGGGTCTGGAAGGACAAATAGAAGTGTAGCACAAGAGAGATGGATATGCATCATCATTAAAATCAGTAGTGGCTAGACTACTAGCAAGCCTAACTGGGTGGCAGCTCTAGATCTTGATTGGAAAAAGGAAGAAAGCTATCATTTACTGAATGCCGTTCCAGTTGCTACTGCTATATAACAAACCACCCCACATTTAGTGCAGTGAAACAGCCACAGAATCTGCAGGTCAGAAATTTAGACTGGGCACAGTAGTAACAGTGCATCTCTGCTCCACAATGTTTGGGGCCTCAGCTAGGAAGACTAGCTCATTGTGCCATAAAAGCTCCTTCTATAATGCTGTTTCCAGCTCTTGACAGTGTTTTATTTTTAACATTAAAGAAGAAGAACACAGAGTCTACTAGTTGAGAAAGCCCTAGTGGTTGAAAGATTACCTGTCATTTCAAAAAAGAGAATTTTCTTGATAATAAATAAATAAATAAAATATTGTTTTATTGAGCAATAATATTGTTAGTTCATTTTAAAGGATTCACTTACTGTTTTGCAGCTTCTTCTGACAATTTTCTACATGATGAGGTGCCATCTAGTTTTGCTCTGGGTTTGCAAGCCAGCCTGAGAGGTTCAGCTGGAATGAATCTGTGGTGAGGTAGTGTGAGGTGGTGAGTGTTAGGGGTGCTCATTCCAGTTAGGCCTGTCAGCTGTGTGACGGCGGGGTGCCCCTCGGTGTCCTCAGCTGTGAACTGAGGACGTGGCAGTTTACTGGATTGCTCAGGGCCTTTCCTGGTTTGGGGCTGATGTACGCTGATATACACTCAGTACACTGACTCAAGGAGCCAGCTTTCGTGCAATCTGATTGCTCTGTCCCCCAGGAGCCTCAGTCTTTGGTATTCTCACCCAGTATTTCACATTTTGAAGCCCTGGTGGTGCAGAGGTTAAGCGTTTGGCTGCTAACCAAAAGGTCAGCAGTTTAATCCACCAGCTGCTGCTTGGAAACCCCATGGGGCAGTCCTACACTGTCCTGTAGGGTTGCTATGAGTCAGAATCAACGGGTTCAGTTTTGGGTTTATTTCACATTTCAAGTTTAAGAATTAGCCTTCTCAAGAGAGATGCTGGCTTTTTTTCTTCACTTTTTTTCTCAACCTATGTGACTCCACTGTGCCTCAGTTTCTTCATCTGTCAGATGGTGATAATGATAGTGTTCTTCATTGGGTTGTTGTGAAGTTCGGGTTATTATCTATCATAATAGATGATAGGTTATGCATATATACGTATAAAGCAATTTCCATTGAGTCAGTTCCAACTTATGGTGACCCAATGTGTTTGCAGAGTAGACCTGTACTCCATAGGGTTTTCTTGGCTGTGACCTTTCAGAAGCAGATCACCAGGCCTTTCTTCTGAGGCCCCCTGGGTAGGTTCTAACTGCCAACTTTTCAGTCAAGTGCTTATTTGTGCTATCCAGGGACTCCCATATATACATATATAAACCTGTTGCCGTGGAGTCGATTCTGACTCATAGTGACCCTGTATATATACACATAAAATAAAAGTGCACCTGGCACAAGACAAGCACTATATGTGTTACCTATTATTATATAAGTATCTAAAGCCAAATCCAGCCTCCAGGTGTACTCTGCCTACAGACCCTGCCACCCCAGCAAGCTTCTCTTATTTATATAAACTTTCAGGTTTCAGAAGGAGCAATATTTTAAATCTCTATACTTTAAAAACATGTCTCAAACTTCACAACATTATTTTGAACTTTATTCCCATCTTTCAGAGTTTACTAAACCCAACTAATATAAAAATCCCTACCTCCTTTATATTTTTATTAAGGTAAAAATGTAGCGATTGCCTTTGAACACCTGGTGATGGTATCTGCTATGGTTATTTAAATCTGGTGGTGTTTTCTGTTTAGCATATGTGGGTTAGTCTAGTATCCACAGGTAGATTATAACCTTCTTAAATTCAGCGACTTTGTTTTAAAGATCTTTATATACCCCTAGATTAAAACAGAACCTTGTCATATAGTAGGTGCTCAAAGAGTAATCCGTTGAATGATTTAGTTTTGATTTTAAGACCTGCTTCAAGGCAGGATCTGATTCAGATTCAAGAAACTTTTTCTGATCCCTCACTAAGTGCTTAGTAGCTAATATTTAGGAGTTAATAAGTACTTGCTAGGTGATAAGCATTGTACTTGGTGCTATACATGCAACCTTATCAGTACTACCGTTATGCCCAGCAGGCTAGTGGGGAACCTGAGAATAGAATTTAAGGGCTTGATTGAGATACAATCCTAAATCTGCTTGATGCCAGAGTCCATGATCTTTAACGAATGCAGTAATCTACTTTTATTATCTGCAGCCCTTCCTATGCAATGCCCCTTCCACCCCACTGCAGTATGAGGGTGGATAATTAGAGATCGCCATTCCTCATCCCTACGTTCTACCCCAAATACCTTTTGACAACTTTCCCATTGGCTATAGACATGATTACTTGACATGACTAAGTGGCTCACTGGAAACTGAGCGTGAGGGCTTAGGATTCACTATGTATGAATCTTTCTTCTGCCTGACCCCCCAGGTATCCGCCGCCAGACTGCCCATTGCATAAAGAAGGGCCAAGGAATGGTGAAGGCTACATTCTGTGACCCAGAAACCCAGCCCAATGGGAGACAGAAGAAGTGCCATGAAAAGGATTGTCCACCCAGGTAACCATTGCTAACAACTAGAACTCTCTCTGCCTAGAATTATGTCTAATATAACAGTAATCTAATATTCAATAATAAAGGGGGACTGTGTGGCCTTGTTGGAGCCCTGGTGGCACAGCAGTTAAGCAGTTGGCTGCTAATCAAATGGTCTGCAGTTCGAATCCACCAGCCGCTGCTTGGAAACCCTATGGGGCAGTTCTAGTCTGTCCTATAGGATCGCTATGAGTTGGAATCGAAGCAACAGGTCTGGTTTTTTATTTTGGTTGGTGTGACCTTGTTATTATAATAAATAGAGGAAAGCTATTAGAGGTTTCTATAGCTGTTATTGGACCCTGCAACAATCTGTGGGTGAAGACATTTTCTCTTCAGAGAATAGTTTTTTTTATAAAGCTGGTATGTTCTGTGTTTAATTATTTGATAACACTAAGTCCCAAAGCATTGTTGAGGAGAATGCTATGTAGAGCACCCAAAAGCTCTTTGGATTGGCTTTTCCAAGGGCTCTTTACCAGTGCAACAGTGTCCTTCAGACAACACTTTGGATTTTGGCACCTTCACATCACAGTGCCCTGTCGTAATTAAGGCTGCCTAGAAAAGTGTACATGAGTACATAGAGCAGGGCTTATCATTATTGACTTATTGGTCCAGATAATTCTTTGTCTTGGGGAGCTATCCTGTGCATTGTATAGTCACTCCTCAGTTATCAACATGGTTGTGTTCCAAAGACCAAGTTGTAATGCAAAAATCAGTGTTACACAAAAATAGAGGATGATCACATTAGATCACAAAATAGAGAATGACTACATAATTACATAACTGCAAAACCACTGAGAATCGTGACCCACCCAAGTTGACACATAACCTTAACCATCACAGCCAGTGTTACTCTTGCCTTGCAGCTTGGTGTTCATTACTGCCTGGTGTACATTGTTAATGCGCAAAATAGTCAGATAGTAGGTTTTTTACTATTGTCATAAATGCAAAATGTCAGATAATGAGATAGTCAATAGGTGAAAAGTAGGTGTGTTTAGCAGCATCCCTGACTTGTACGTAGTAAATGCCAGTAGCACCACTCTCCCAGATTTTGACAACTAAAATTGTTTCCAGACACTCCCTAATGTCCTGAGGGGGAGAGCAAAATCATTCTCAGTTGAGAACCACTATTAAAGAGGTATTCATTTGATAACCGTATTTGTTCAAGATATTGGGATTCCAGAAGGTAGCTGGGGTGTTATTATGTGGAGCTTATCAGTCAGAATCAACTCAACAGCAGTGGGTTTTATTTTTGTTTTTTTGGTTTTTTTTTTGTTTTTTTTGTATATAACAGGCAAAAAGAAAGGCAGGGGAGGGGAGGAGAGGGAAGGGAAAGGAAGGAAAAGAGAAGGGGGTCTTTATGTAATGACTCCATCAGTCTTTCATTCCAGTTCTAAGCAGGCATACTTTGAGGAGTTTAGTTAGACAGGGAGTTTGGGTTGAATTTTAAAGAAGAGCTGAAAAAATGTGATACATTTCAAAGGACTAGGTAAAAAAGAAGAGTCCAGACAAGTCTGTCATGGAAAGCAATGACAGTCTCTTATAGCTTCAAACAAGCAAAACCCAGATGCCAGGGCCATCTCATCTCGGAGCCAGAAGGTCTATTCTCTATGCAGTTATGTTGTTGCTCCTGAGTGTCTGTGGCCCTAGGCCTACAGTTGTTACTCTGAAGCAGAAAGAGGCAGGCTGTGAGGTCCAAAGCCAGACCCACTTGTACTGAGGCGGACAGAGGTGCTGCAATTGTCTCATCTTACTGTAGCTTGCCCCTGTAGCTGTTTTGCTAGAAAGATTAGATCAGCACTAAGTTTGGTATATAACTGCAGTTGTTGTAATGCCTTCTCAGGGAAAAGTGCACCAGGAAAGAGGAGCCTTTCTTAGAGCTAATCAATAACCTATCAGTCTACACAGTTCATTTGCTTTCATCCAACTTATTCTTCCTTAAAGTTAATGACCCTTTGCCAATAATGCAAATATTCCCTTTACATTTATTAGATAGTAACCACTACACAATACCCAGAATTCTTCCCTCACTTTTCAAAACCATGCTCTTTGTTGGATTGGCTACCTTCTTAAAACCATGGGTGATGATTTCCTGAATCTGATTTTATCCCTGGGGCTCACATTCTCATTTTTATGGTTTCAACGTAGTCTTCCTTGGCCTTACTGTTACCAGCAAATGTAAATATAAATATATTTATATAATTATAATATTCCAAGGAGTGGCTGGAGGATTCGAACTGACAACTTTTTGGTTAGCAGCCTGTGCTCTTAACTACTGCACCACCAGGGCTCCGTAATATAAATAGTGAGCAAATATTGAACCCAAGCCTCAGATGCATGTAAAAGTTGTATAGTGGAAAAAAAAAAAAAAAAAAGACAGAAGAAGACCCAATGCATTTAAATTGTGGTGTTGGCAAAGAATATCGAATATGCTATAGACTGTCAAAAGCACAAACAAATCAGTCTCAGAAGAAATACAACAAGAATGTGCCTTAGAAGTGAGGATGATGAGACTTTGACTCATTTACTTTGGACACATCATCAGGAAAAACCAATTGCTAGAGGAGGACGTCATGTTTGGCAAAGTAGAAGGCCAATCAAAATGAGACAAACCCTCAATAGAATAGATTGATGTCATAACTGCAACAATGAACTCAAACCCACCAATGATCATGAAGCGGGCACAGGACTAGACAACGTTTTGTTCTGTTACATATAAGGTGGCCATGAGTTGGAGCCAACTCAACAGCAACTAACAACAACAACCTGCTATTATTTACCATCACATATACAATGATGGGAATGACCATTGAACTGTTACCATTTATGGAGCAGTTACTTCATTCTTGGCCACGTTTTAGAGGTGCCTTATATATTCTCTTCCATAATTACTCTGAAAAATAACTATTATAATGCCAATTTTAAGGAGGAAAATCTTTTCAATAACTCATTCAGTGTTGTGAAACTAGTAAGTGGCAGATTTTGAACCCGGGGCTGGCTGGCTCTAGAGCCTGTGGTCCCCATTACACATAGCAGACCCTCCAAAGAGAGTCGTGTTCTCAAGGGGAGTGGTAACTCCAGCTGTGAAGTTAATTCTCTGCTTACTCCAGCCATGTCAGAAGCACAGCAAGCACTGTGCTAGGTGTGGTGGGCACTGAAGGCTGGAGACATCGCTATACACGAAAAAGCAAGACAGGGAAGAATCTGGCTGCACTGTTGGCTCTCTGTTTTAGAACAGACATCAGTCTGTACCCAACATTGCTCACCTGTAGGTAAAAACTTGGCTTTACTATTTTCAGAATTAGCTTACCATAAGGGTGGTTATCTACATACCTCGACACTCCAGTTACCAGAATTTTCAGATTTGAAGTATTACCAAATGTACCTATAATATGATATACTCAAGGGTGCTAGAGGGAGATGGCTGTTGGGGCAACAATCCAGAGGCTGAAGGGCAGGAGCTGAGACTCAAGCCTGGCAGACAGAGGAGCAGCCTGGTGATATGGGCAGGCTCTGCGGGCCTGAAGTCTGCCCCTAAGTGTGGCAGTGTGGTCGGCCAAAACATGCTCCCTCCCCAAAGAAATCCATGTCTTAATCCCTGGAATCTGTGATTGTTACCTTATATGGCAAAAAAGAGTCTTTGCAGATGTGATTAAGTTAAGGATTTTGAGATGAGGAGTTTATCCTGGTTTATCTAAGTGGGCCCTAAATGCCATTACAACAACAGGCTGAGAGAAGTTTCACGCACGCACAGATGAGGTGCTGTGAAGACAGAGCATAGAGAAACTTGAAGGTATTGGCCTTAAAGATTGGAGTGGTGCAGCCATGAGCCAAGGAATGCTGGTAGCTACCAGAATCTGGAAGAGGCAAGGAATGGATTCTCCCCTAGAGCCTCCGGAGGGAACTCAACCCTGAGCCCTGCCAAGACCTTGATTTTGGCCCAGTGATACTGATTTCGGACTTCTGGCCCCCAGAACTGTGAGAAAACAAACATCTGTTGTTTTAAGCCACCAAGTTTGTGACAGTTTATAACAGCAGCCATAGAAAGAACTAATACAGACAACTTAACCCCAGCTTAATGAAGAAAGCAGGGAAAGGGCAGAGGAGAGCCCCTACACCAAGTCACAGAAGCTCCAAAGTTTAGAAGACCATGCAGTAAGGATTTCCTCAGGATATGTGGCAGATGATTTTTTTTGGAATGGCATAAATATGTCATCCCCTGAAGAAGCTCACAGCCCGGCAGGCAATATGAGATACATAAACATCACAAGGTAAGGCCGTTGTCTGAAATGTGACCAGCAGTCAGGTGTCTAAAATCATTGCCCAGTCCCTGTATCCTGGCCGCCTGTCCACAGGGTCCCTGCCCTCCTTGGTGTTTGTAGTTAATTGACATCTCTCCATCTCTTGATGCAGTCAGCAGCATCGCTCGAACCAAGTTGTTGTTGTTAGTTGCCATGGAGTTTGTTTTTTGTTTTTCTTCCTAGAACACTTCTGTCTTAGTTACCTAGTACTGCTGTAACAGAAATACCACAATTGGGTGGCTTTAAAGACCAGAAATTGATTTTCTCACAGTTCAGGAGGCTGCTAGTCCGAATTCAGGGCACCAGCTCTGAGGGGGTTTCTCTGTTAGCCTTGGGGAAGATCTTTGTCTCGTTCAGCATTCCTGGGTTCCATGGGGATCTTCACATGGCATCTGTCTTCCTCCCTCCCCCTCATTTGTGCTTCCTTGTCTTTATGTCTCTGCTGCTCTGTATATCCCTCAGAAGTGATTAGGTTATGGACACATCCTGCACTGATATAGCCTCATTAACATAACAAATTAAACCCTATTCCCAAATAGGATTACATCCAAAGATACAGGGGTCAGGACTCCAACACGTATTTCTGGGGGACACAATTCAATCCCTAACAGCTTCTTAAACTGAGCACATGGATGCGGCTTATCTCTTCAGAACAAAGTGTTTTGATGG